GCCTACGAGCGCGGTCCGAAGAGGCCCCGCGAAGCATCGCTGAGGACTCTGCCCCACGTCAGCGTCGTCATCACCGCCGACGCCGCCGTCGTGGTCGTCGTCCCCCTTCAAGGTCGGCGGCACCGGCCGTAAAGCCTTCCCAATGACGTCCGACCGCACTCCCAGAACCACCTGGCACCTGGGCATCCTGTGGCGCCCAGGCCTTTCAAGCGCTACAAAACAAGCGTTTCGCTTGAGACATCCTCAGATATTCGGCACGCAGGGCGCTCCATCCTCGAGCGGGCACGCAACAAGCAAACATTCGTTCTGCAAAAGAAGCGCTGGGACCGAGACATCCTCGAGGCACCTGCGCACAGGGCGCGCCGTCCTCGAGCGAGCATGCAAACAGTCAACATTCGACAATTGTCTGCAAACTCTTAAAATCTCAGAGCCTCGCTTTTTCATATGGGATTATGCCCAAATGTTCCGCGCCCTCCTTTTTACGAAAGAGGGGGGCTCTGCGGACCCCGTGAGGCAATGAGGCTCCGAGATGGGGGGCGCATTTTCTTAGAGCGGGCACGCGAGAAACGCACTTACTTGAAACCAAATGGAACTTTACCCCATGTTTCATCGAGCGAAAATCTGCGAACCCTCTTTTCGATTTTGGCCGCGAGAGAACCCTGGGCTCTTGCCTCTCCTGGGAATAAAAACAAATCACATTAATTGGTTTGCGTCATATGTCAGAAAAAAAAACAGCTGAAGAGTAGGATATGTTGAGGAGGTGCACGAACTGGGGATGGGTGAGGGAGAGGGTAACAAGGACGGAGAAGAAGAGCGTAAAAAGGATGCTGGCGGAGGCCAGTAATGAGGGGGAAGATGATGAGGAGAGAACGAACAAGAAAACAACGGCAGCAAAGCGGAGGAAGAAAGAGACAACAACGACGATCACAAGACGGCAACGACAGCGAGAAGCGAGAACATTTCAAAATTCTCCTATCCCCCATCCACCATTTTTCACATGCATCCGCATGTGTTGCGTCCACTCATTTTGGGGTGTTTGTCCTCCCTCGCCCATCTCTTCCAATATCCTCCCTCTCCCGCCGCCTCTCTCTATTCCTCTCTCTGTCCCTCTGCCATTCCGTCTCATTTCTTATCTCTGTCACCCGTTTCCGTCTCGACCTTCGCCCTCCCTCCTCCCAAAGTGTGCTGGATCGTGATGTCATCATTTTGCTGACCCCGTTTTGGCGAATGAACGATCCAACGGTTTACCAAGATTGTCTGATTCTTGGCTCACGATATGCACGGCATGCGATGCATATGCCATTGCACGTGTCCGCAAGGCGGCTGGTTTCCCAAAGGTGGGCTTTCGCGCATTTTGGATAACAAATCGCCAAACATTCAATATCAAATTAATACCATGTTTCCCTGTATCGCCATCGAAGGCCGATATAGGAGGCAACCTGGTTTCTCAAGTGGAAATAATAACTTGGAGGTCGAAACCTGATCGTGGGTCCATTGTCCCAATTCGCTGTCGACCTCTTGCGTCGAACGGCTGACATCCAGCCTCCAGCTTCCGACACCCAGCGCCGACCGGCAGATCTCGACATCCGAAAAAAAAAAAACACATGTGGTGGACGTTTGCATGGAAAAAACCCTGGACACGCCAACCCCCCCATAAACATTTCGCGCGCCCGGCAAGACCCCCCCCCAGAGGACACCGGCCTTTCAAACTGGGGGGAGGGTCCACAGCCGCCACCCCAAACAGACTCCTGTTGGGACTCGATGGAGTTCTGCTGAATTAGACTAAGATGCTGCCCTGCTTTATCAAAACACTACCGAGGCTGGATCCAATTTAAAACTTACATCCTTGTAGGACCCGATGCAACTCTCAAAAAACTCTACGAGGGCTCGACCCAATTGTAACGGCATCCCGTTCGTGTTCGATCCAACTATCCTAGGATCCCACGATCGGTGAATCCAGCTCTACATGCACCCTACGGGGGTTATATCCCAAACCAATTGAACCCTACGACAGGTCGATTCCAGTTGTGCTCGATCCAACTCATCGAAGCTATTACAACATTTCGCCAATTCGTCACGGGTTCGGGCATCATCTTGATCCTGCTGATGGGCTGTAGGTCCGGCTGCTCAGGCAAGCCCTTCTTCAATTGTGGCCCCAGGTTGAATCTCGGAGAGATGTGGTCGACGCCATTGCTAGGACGTCCGGTAAACAGATTGACTATGAGAGATATGCGCGCGCCGGCCGTTCGAAGGGAGGGCGACCGCGCGCGCGAATGCAAAAACTGCGATGTTAATCAGATGACTCTGCCCGCCCTCATTTGGAGGGCAAAGCCGAAGCATGACAGATACGGCGAGCAAAGTGTTCGTTATGCCCCCGCGCGGTCTGCCCGGCGCCGGGTCTCCGCGCGGGGACGGGCGCCAGCCTGTAGCTGGCGCCCCAAGCTGCGGCGGGGCGCGCCAGACCGAGTTCGGCGCGCCCCGAAGGCTGAAGTTGGACTTCGCCCCTTCCCCCGAGGCGCGCCCCTTCCTCCGAGGGAATCGGCCCCCGAGGCGAAAACCGCAGGAAGTCCCGCTGCGCACGCGGAAGGGAAGGGGGCGCCCCCGACAAAGCCCGCGGGAACAGCCAAAACGGACCGGCGAGTCCCACATAGGGAGAAGCGGCGATCGGCCCATAGGGCCATCACAGCCCGCCGCCGCGCCGTGGCCCGCGCCAGAACGCAGCTCCAACGCGTTCCGGGGAACACTCAAAGCACAGCTCCGAAATGCCTCCCCAGTCTCTGCTCTGCTCGCTTCGCTAGTCAGTCGCCGCGGCCCCGGCCGCTGTTCCAGCCCTCCTGCCAATCGCCTGAGCCCCATCCTGCGGCTCCTCAACAGCCAGCGGCTCTGCGAATCGCGGCGCCATGGGGGGGGAATCCCCCGCCCCCTCCGCGGCCCAGTCGGACGCCCGTGCGCTGGCACCTCTCCGCCAAGGGCCTTGGGGCAGAACTCGACGACGCCGCAACCGACGCCGAGGGCCTAGAATGGAGCTCCTAGAGTGTTCCAGCTGCTGGCGGGGCTCGCCGGGCGAGGCGGTCTGCCAACCTGCCGCACGGGGGCCGCCGCAGGAGCGGAGCAGCGCCCGGTCCTCTTCAGAGTCCGAGGGGCTCAGCAAGGAGGTGTAGGTTCGTGTTGGTCCATCCTTGCTGTGAGCGTCCTCGGGAGCTTCTTTGGACGCCCGAAATGGGTACGGACAAGTGGGTACAATGCCCAACGACAGATGTTGTCCCAAACCAACAGCGGCCGCTGTTGGGCAGGCGGCCTTCTGTCTCGAATTGATACAGACCGCGGCGGCGTGGACAGCGAGTCCTGATCAAAATGAACAAGAACTGCTGTTGGGCATTGTGCCCATTCTTTCCGCACCCATTTCGTTCGTGCCGAGCCTCTGCCGAGGCTCGGTGGCGAGCTCAGCCCAGGTGGGCAGCCTGTCAGGGCCGTCAGCGCCCCAGCAAGGCGGCGACGGCGGCGGGGGCGCCGCGAGCTCGGCAAGGCTGCTCCGGCAGGCGGCGGCGAGCGGGCGGCAGCGGGCTCGCTACCAGGTCCTCCAGGATGGCCAACCCGGTCCGATCCCGCAGAGCGCCCAGGCTCTGCGCCCAGGAGGCCGCCCAGGCCGCTGGGGCCAGCTCCTCCTCTTCCTCCTCCTCCTCATCGTCCTCTTCCTGCTCCTCCTCCTCCTCATCATCATCATCCTCCTCTCCCTCCCTCCTCCCTCCTCTTCCTCCTCCCTCTTCCCCTCCCATCTCTTGCCTTACAAAGAACTTGTCCCTGTCGCACCCCAATGCAAGTTGTTTAAGGCGGGCCGGTTGTTTTGCCTGAGACTTCCTCGCCAACTATGACTATTAAACGTAGCAGTTGGCAGAAATTTCACGGATGGAGGGCGGGAGGTTTCAAAATGCGGTTATCGCCTTAGCGCGGCGCACATTCGTGCAACAATGTAAGAATTTCACCGTTTTCAAAATGTGACTCTCGCCTCAGCGCGGTGCACATTCGATTTAAACAATTGCCAGGGTTTCACGGATTGAGGCGGGTGGTTTTGTAAATGTGGTTTTCGCCTTAGCGCGGCGTGCACTCGTCTCAAATATTTGCAAGGGTTTCACTGGTTGAAAGCGGGTGGTGTTCAAAATGTGGCTCTCGCTTTAGCGCGGCGCACAAGCTTTCTAACACATCTGCAGAATTTCACTGGTTGAGGGTGGGTCGTTGTCAAAATGTGGCTCCTGCTTTAGCGCCGCACGCATTTGTTTTAACATTTGCAAGAGCTTCACGGATTGAGGGCGGTACGTCTTCAACATGTGGCTCTCGCCTAAGGCGAGGGTTTCAAGGATTCCAATCGTCAACGCACCAGAAATAGCATTTCCAAAGGATTCAGGACTACGCGGGCGCAACCCTTACGCTGATTCGCTGCGTTGAAGTTCCAGAATTTGATTTCTGGCACGATCCAGGACAATCAACACGCAACTGTCAGGTTGATCCGTGGGGTTGGAATCCCGAGAACGATGCTTTGACATGTTTCAGGGTCTTCAAACGAATGTCTTCCAACGAGCCAGTTCCCCCAATGGAAATGGAACCATTGTAGGGGCCTGTAAAGAGGAAGCTTGGAGGGATGGTGTATTCCGACATCGTTGATGAATCTTGGGCTTGCACTGGTCCTCCTCCTCATCCCCGTCCTCGTCCTCCTTCTCCTCTTCCTGCTCCTCCTCGTCCTCCTCCTGCTCCTCCTCCTCCTCCTCCTCACTCCTCCTCTCACCCTCCTACTCCTCCTCCTCCTCCTCCTCCTCCTCCTCCTCCTCCTCCTCCTCCTCCTCCTCGTCCTCTTCCTCCTCCGCGTCCTCCTTTTCGTCCACCTCCTCCTCCTCCTCGTTGTCCTCCTCCTCCTCCTCCTCCTCCTCCTCCTTGCCTCCTTCTTCCTGGCGTCTTCCACCCTCTCTCCCCCTCTCTCCAAACAATTCGGGGGCGGGAACGGCCGCCTGCTGGAGTTCCGCTACTCTCTGCCTGGTGAGGGCGAACTCGTCCCTGCAGTCGGTGACTTCCTCCTGCGCGACCCTCATACGCAGAATGCATCTGTATACACCACCGCCGTGTATGGTCAGGGCCTTCCTGGGCCCTTGCATGGTGTATGCGCCTCCTGGCCGAAGCCAGGAAGGTGAGATCATACACCGTTGTGAAGCCCAGGATGACCATCACCAGGCTCTGTAGTGAATGATTGTATGCCGTCTGCGGACCTCAGGGTGGCGAGCAGCTCCAGCACCCTCGGCGTCGAGGCGGAGGCCTGGCCGCCTGGGGAGCCCTCGCCCAATGGCGACGCGCACCTGGGAGGCCGCCCAAAAAGGGGGGCAGGAACAGGGAGGATCGTCTAGGACATGGTGGAGCTGAGCGAGCCCCTTGTTGGTTGCATGCCACCTCGAGCGCCCTCCGCCTGTCCGTGGGACCGCGCCGCATCGCCGATGCATCGGCGATGCGGCACGAACCTGGATCCTCCGACCCCACACCGCTCCGCCCCCGTTTGCGCGGCCTGGGAGCGAAAAACAGATCTGCATCCGCGGCTGGGCCGCGACCTCGAGGTGTGTCTTCGCAGATGCACCGTGCGGAACCTGTCCTTGCGATGGCGTATCCGAGGGATCGCGCCCCGGAATCCAGACCAAATACATTCGCCGCTCATGAACCGCTCCGCCCCCGCCTGAGCGGCCCCGAGCCGCCCCTGGCCGCGGCTCGGCCCCTCCGAGTAGTACATGGCGGTCTCAACACCTCAACCCTGGGACGCGGAGCGCCCATGGCGCCGCCAGAGGCGGCGCTGGGGTGCTCGATCGGACTACTTGGGGGGACCATTGAGGCCAGCTGGGACTACTCGGGGGGGCCGCTGAGGCCAGCCGGGAGTGCCTCGGGGGGCTGCCTGCGCACCCCGAAGCCTCACCAAACGCACCGTCGAGGAGGATGAGGAGGAGGAGGAGGAGGAGGAGGAGTACGGTGCATGCAGGGAAGGGTCTCTTTGGATGGGCAGGTATATTATGGGCTAGAGTGGAGGAGGAAATGAAGAATGGGCAACAACCAAAGAACTGCTACGTGTGATATTGCCACCTAACTCTCTGCTGCAAGCCATATCTACGCAGCACATTGCATACGACAGTTCTTGCCTCTCAGAGTGAATCCTGTGGTCAGGGGTACACAAAAAAGCCTGGGCAGCATCAAGAACTGCTACATCTTGTACTTGACGTCACTGTTGTTTGCTGCCAGCGGTACAATGCATCAGGGAAGGGTCTCTATGGATGTGCAGGTTATGGGAGGGGCTCTCAGAGACATCAGCAAAGGGTGTAGTAATTGCGCGTTTCAGCCTCACCGCCGACATGCCAGCCTACAGGCCAGCCTAACACGCCTGACATGCCGCGGATTGCCTGCATCAGCCAAAAACAGCAGCCCCAGACTTGCATCACACAACTTTGCTGTTCCTTACCAATTTAGGCATCAACACTGTACATACGCCATCCCTTACCGCTCAGGCTACATCAGGTGGTTTGGGGTATACCCAAAAACCATGGGCAACATCCACAAAATTGCTACATGTTGTACTTGACGTCGATGTTTTTGTTTGCTGCAAGCCGTACTATACATGAGGGATGGGTCTTTGGATGGGCTATGGTTGGGCAGGATATGGGTGGGGCTCTGGGCGACATTCCAGCAAAGAATGTACTCGCGCGTTACAGCCTTACCGCCGACAAGCCGGCCAGACAGGCCAACCTCAACATTTCTGACATGCCGTGGTCGCCTGCATACGAATAGCAGCAGCCCCTGACATGCAAGCACTTTACTTCGCTGCTCCTTACCAACTAGGCAGCACGTACCACTGCAACTAAGGGGCACTAACTTATTATGGACTAATGGAAGTTGGGGGGTCATTCTTCAGAGGTGCGTGCTGTCCTTTACCTTGCGGGCACCTACTCTTTCATTTACGATCGTCGCCACCTTCACTTATATTATTTTCAGAGGCGCCCGCCAGATACATTGTAACCCGAGTCGTGTACACCGTGAGTGTTCACAATCAAAAACGCCACATATTTTCACAGAAGACTTGCTTAACGTAAAAGGGAGGCGGAGGAGCAGCAGGAGCTCAGCAGGAGGAGGAGGAGGAGGAGGAGGAGGAGGAGGAGAAGGAGGAGGAGGAAAGAGAGGTCCGCTTACGTGGCCCGGAGGCGCCCCTGGTCGCGGCTCGGCCCCTCCAGGAGTTGCACTTCCGCCACCGTCACGACGGTGGCGGCCCTGTCGGGCCGCGCGGCGGGCGGAGAGCACGGCGGCGCCGCGGCGCCGGCGGGGCCAGGCGGCGCGACGGCGGCCGCCGCGGCGCCGCGATGGGCGGGCGTGCTGAGGCGCGGCCGGGGCGCCGCCACGCCACGCGCTGCGCCGCTGCGGCCCGCGCCTCGCGCCCGCGTCGAGGTGGGGCTCGAGGGGGCTCGAGGTGTGGGGGGTGGGGCTCCAGGGGGCGGGGGGGGGGGAGGGGCTCCAGGGGGCCTCGAGGGGAGGGGCTCGAGGGGGCCCGAAATGGGAGAGCTCAACGGGGCGGGGGGGGAGGGGGGGCTGGAGGCTGGAGGGGTTGAGATGGGAGGGGGCTCGAGAGAGCATGGGGGGAAGGCTTGGGGGGCTCGAGGGGGCTCGAGTTGGGGGGTGGGCTCGAGGTGTGTGGGGGGGGGCTCGAGGGGGGATCGAGCATGAAAGGGTCTTGGCGCGCGGGCCTGCGGGGGCCGCCAGAGGGGGGGCGAGTGAACCCGATAGGGGGAGCCTCGCTCCTCCTCCTCCTCGTCCTCCTCCTCCTCCTCCTCGTCCTCCTCCGCCTCCTCCTCTTATTATTGTTATTATTCTTGGTAGTATTAATATTATTACTCTTCTTCTTCTTAATATCATTATTAATATGCTTCTTATTAGTTTTAAATAATATTCTTGTATTAGCATCATTAATATTATTATGGTGATGATTATTAGTATACCATTATTAATGGTATTTGCAGGGCTTCGCAGGTGCCGAGCTGAGATTATGGTTACCGAAACCGTTTGGCTCAAGAAAAGGAATCCAGGGGCTCCGCCATTCCGCATGGTCGCGGAGCCTGGTCGAATGCCCACGGCCAGGCTCCCAGTTTACCGTTTCTCGCGACAAGATGGCAACAGCAGAGGAGGTTCTGAATAGGATCGTGGCGATGGAGGGCGTCGTAGTCCAGCAGAGAGATCAGATAGCGAGGTTGGAACAACAACTTCGAGATGCGCATCAACGAGCAGCAGCAGCAGAAGGACCAGCAGACGACCGACCATATCAACCGAGAGCGGAGTCACTAGTTGACACGAAGCTGCTCGGAAAACCAGACAAGTTCTCGGGTGAGCTCGACGAGAATGCGAAGTACAAGGGCGGTGTCACGTGGGAGAACTGGAGTTTCGTCCTAGCGGCCTACTGCATGGCGGTGGATCCTCATATGGCGGAGTTGATGAGGGATGCTGCGAAGGTCGACGCTGAGGCTTTCGCACACGAGGATCTAGACGAAGAGGCCCAGCGAGTCAACACCAACCTGTACTATATCCTTGTACTGACGTGCAAGGACAAGGCTCAGGGCATCGTGAAGAGCGTTCCCTCAGGAGAAGGCCTAGAGGCCTGGCGTCTACTGTGTCTGGAGCTCGAGCCGAAGGTGCCGTCGAGATTCTCAGGTATGTTAGACTCGATGCTGTATCCGCATGTGCAGGAGAACGACCCGATCAAAGGCATCGTATCGTGGGAGACGTTGGTCCAGAGATATGAAGAGCAGACAGGAGAGAAGGTCATGGAGTCGATCAAAAAGTCTGTTCTCAGTACGCGATTAGTGCCGCCAAAGCTTCGAGAACATCTCATGCTGAACGCCACGAGGTTCACGACATACGCGTTGGCACGAGCTGAGGTGTTGAACTACTTGAGGTCGAAGCAGGCGGCGATGGCAATAAGTGGACCTGCGCATGTGGATCTGGATGCGCTCACATTCGGCAAGTTCGGCAAAGACTCGAAGGGCAGGCACGGCAAAGACAAGGACAAGGGCAAGGGCTACGACCAGAGCGCGACGCAGCCTTGCAAGTACTGCGGCAAGAAAGGTCACAAGCTCATGGAGTGCAGGAAGGCCACGCAGGACATGAAGGACGGCAATATCACGAATGATGACTTGCGAAAAACCAGCCATGGCAAGGGCAAGGGTAAGGACAAAAGCAACGGGGCGAAGAGCACACCTGCGCCCGACAAGCCCAAGGATCAAGACATGAAGTACTTAGGGTACGAGTACGACGCCGAGGAGGGCTACATCTTCATGCTGAAGGAGAACGAGACTGAGGAGATAGATCACAGATCGGGTGTAGACCGCACGGAGGTAGACGGATACACTGTGAATCTAGAGAGTAAGGAGGAGCCCAATCACAAGTTCAACGAGAATGACGAGAGCTACCTGATTCCAATAGAGTTCGAGAATGACAGCGACGGTAAGATCGAGGTGATGGTCGACTCATGTGCGGCACGGAGCGTTTGCCCACCTGGTTTCGCACCAAGAATACCACGAGCAGAAGCGGACGCACCACCACTACGACAGGCAGATGGTACTAAGATCTACTCGAACGGCTGCAAGACGGTACAAATGCAGGTGGCTGGGGCTCGACAACCAATTCGAGGACAGTTCGATGTACGAGACGTCCACAAGACGATCATTGCGGTGAGCGACCTGACGAAGGGAGCTCAAGGGGCATGGTTCGACGAAGGCGGTGGAGCAGTGGCCAATCCGAAGATCAGCCAGCGGATCAAGGAAATAATCGAGTACGAACACGCGAACAACCATAGAAACAGACCCCTGAGGATCCCGAAGAGGCGTGGAATTTACAGCTTCGACGTGGACGCGAGCACGCTATGCCCCCTTGAGAGTGATGAACCTGAACAAGCTCAGCAGCGGGGGGGGCAGGAGGAAGAGATCGAGACCGACGAGGCGCGACTGCCGAAGGTCAAGAAGGGGAGGTACAAGCCCACGGCGGAGGAGATAGCCATCCACGGGAAGACGCACACGCCGCATCGGGACTGCTGCTTCGTGAACACCGAGCAGGAGACGGAGATGGTCAACATCCTGGTGATGGTGCAGAAGCCTGAGGACGCAGTTGCTTCCATCATGGTTATCCACAAGGGACCCAGCGAGTACGTCAACTCAGCGGTGGAGTTCTACTTTGACGTTTGGGGAGCAGCGGAAATCATCCTGAAGGGCGACCAGGAGCCATCACTACAAGCGGTGATCACGGCGGTGAAGAACAGGAGGAAGCACAGCACGCAGGTGGAGAAGGCTCCCAAAGGTTCTCATCAGAGCAACGGTGCGATTGAGAATGCGGTGGAAAGAGTGGAGTCGTTACTACGTACACTACACAGCGAGCTGGAAGTGAAGTTGGATGTGAAGATCGGACCCAAGAGTTTGATCATGCCGTGGTTGGTTAGGCACGTGGGGTACTTGCTCACCAGGTTCGCTATCAAGACGGATGGCAGGACAGCTTGGGAACGACTGGGACGTGCGAAGTTCAAGTCGGAGCTTGGGAAGATCGGAGAGACGATCGACTACAAGATCCAAGCAAAGGACTACTCCAAGCTGGAACCTAAGTGGGGCGAAGGTATCTTCTTGGGCAGGCGCGACGAGAGCGACGAGATCATCGCAGGTACGTCGAGAAGGGGTCGAGCACGCCAGAACGATGAAGCTCAGAGCCACGGGGGACAAGTACAACAAGGAGGTCTACAACACGTTCATAGGAGTGCCGTGGAATCCCAGGGGCTTAGAGGTGAAGGATCAGAGTGAGGTGGTCAGGAGACGGAAGTACATCACGAAGGCGCTGATCGAGGAGTATGGACCTACAGATGGGCGCGCCGCATGCGAAGGGAACTCAGCAATACACAACGCGAGGTGCAGGACGTGGTTCGCCAAGATCTTCGAGGAGGCTGACCCGAGGATCGAGATGGCACCAGGAGATCAACCAGGACAAGCGCAACCTGCAGCAGCACCAGCGGCAGTTCCAGCAGCACAGACACCACCAGAAAATGCTAGAGTAACAGAACCACGACTTGAAGAAGCAGGTCAGCGAGCTCCAGGTACACCGGTTGGTCATCATTTCGGACAGGAGCTACAGATCGAGCAAGACGCAGAGATGACGGGTAACGCGATCGTAGCAGGAGGAGATGTGGCGCCTACTACGCCAGGACGGGAAGAGGCGATGGAGATAGGCATCATCATGTCGATCACGAAGGAGGAGGACCGCCACGTCTGCGAGGAGTTGGAGCCGAGGGTGAACTATGACAAACTGGTGGGTGACGGAGTCTACAGAGACGCGTACACAGGCGAGGAGTTGTTGAAGGAGCTGGTCATCAACGGCAGGACGAAGGAGATGAAGAGCATGGACGAGTTTGAGGTCTTTGAGTGGGTACCACTTGAAGACTGGATGAAGCCGTTCGACACCAAGTGGATCGACAGCAAGAAGTACGACTTACAGCACAACGAGTGGATCGTGAGGAGCCGATGTGTTCACAGAAGGTATAGCGACGGGACCGACCCCTCGAATTTCGCAGGGACACCCGCACTATGGGCCGTTAAGCTGGTGATTTTGAGAGCAGCTTCAACGAGAACGACTGAGTCGAGGAGGAAGAAGCTTGGTCTATATGACATCTCAGTGGCGTTCTTTCACGCGTCGCTGAAGGAGCCCCAGTGCTGCTGGCCGCCACCTGAACAGCGACGCCAGGGATGGTTTGGAAGTTGCAGAAGGCGATGTATGGGACGCCAGAGGCGTCGATGTTATTTCAAGGAGAAGTTCGAGATAACTTCAGACAGAACGGGTACGAGGAGTTGAAGACGGTGTGCTGCTTGTACTACCATCCTGGCAAGGACTCGCTCTGTGCTGGACGCGGAGATGACTTTGTGGTGGAGGCTTACGACGAGGAGCTGGATGAGTTCGATATGCTCATGGCCAATAGGTTCAAGGTCAACCCTCATAGGGAGTGGGACCAGGAGGAGCAGCTGAAGGTACGTTTCTCAACAGAACGGTGCTTTGGGGCGAGGAGGGCTTCGGCATTCTACCAGACCCGAAGCTGATCTTGAAGATGGTGGCGAGCTGAAGCAGGCCAAGCCCGCAGAGACACCGAGTTCGAGGCACGCTGCCAAGGGAGTTCGAGAAGCTGAAGACCCAGTAGGACGACAGAGCTCGATGTTGTACAGGAGTTGCGGTGGCATCGCACAGTATATGGCTGGGGATCGCTGGGATATTCAGGAAGCAGTTCGGGAGCAGAGTTGTTCGTGCAATGACCCGCGGGCGAAGCACGTGCTCAAGCAGAAACGTCTGGTCAGGTATTTGAAGGGCACGGCCGACATCGTGATATTCTACCCGTATCAGCAGGAGGCGTTCAAA